AATTTTGGTAACTATGTAGTAACTATGGTTGTTACTATAGTAGCGTGCGGGAAAGTAGTACTTTCCAACCGATTGACCGTGCGGGAATGAAAATTATCTATCACTTTAATTAAAATTAAAAAAAAAAAGTTGTTAAAAATCTGCGTGAACAATGAATGATTTAACGAGACCTTGTACGCCTCCAGACCTAGTATCTGCTGCTAAAAATGTTACACATGACAAGTTTATTTAAAATGTAGCCCTATTATGGATTGATTAAAATGTTTTGATAAATAATATAGTTAAGTTAATTACAACATTTCTTTGTAAATGAATAATTTCTCTCTATTGAACTTTGAAAGCAGTCGATACATGTGTCCTAACTGAAGCATTCACAGGGCTTAATTAAGACACTCGCCAGAAGAAACAAGGCGTTTACAACAAGACCGAGTAGGCTTACCACCACTCGCCTAACAGCTCGTGGGGGTAATCTGCGTACTCGGCCCCGTTGTAAACACGCCGTTTCTTAGGCTCGTGTTTCAATTTTTTAGCCCTAGAATGCCTCACTTTACACACATGTATCGAAAATATCTATTTTAGCGTTTCGAATGAATAACAAAAAAAGAACAAACAATCGAAAAGTGAGTGAGGAAAAGAAAGACCAAGAAATTTAAAAAAAAAAAAAATTAAATCGTATCGATATGTAATTTTGTGCATTTAGTTTTGTTAATGTGCCTAGACAAGTGGTATCTCCTTTTGAATCTTTTCCCGCAAATGGGACAACCGTGGACGCGTTGTTTTTGGCACTCGACTTGGTGTCGTTTTATATATTCCTTTCTTATATAATTTTTACCACAATTCGGACAGGTTATCATGTCGATTCTCATCTCTGACGAATTAACTTCCGTACCTTTATTTTTTCTTCTGTTACCACTGTTACTCGTATCTGAAATTCACAAATCAGAAAAAACAAAAATAGATTAGAATATATATTTTTTTTTCTTTTTTAAATTTAAAAAAAATTTTTTTTTTATTTTGTTATAACTGAAAAAGGAGACAAAAAAAAAAGATTGTTCTTTCGATTGTTTGTTCGTTTTTCTTTTTGCGTGTTGTTATTTTCTTTTTTTCTTTTTTTATTTTATGTAATTTAATTTAATTTAATTTAATTTAATTTGTAATTTTTATTCACGATACTACCCTTCGTTACAACCCTACCCCTTTATCCCTTACCCTTTACTATCCCCCCTCTCCCTCCTCTTTCTTCTCTGTTGTATTTAATAAAATGTATTAATAAATTTTATTTTTAATGTTAATTTAATATTACGTTTGAATAAATGAAAATTGATTGTTCTTACTACTCGACGGTTTCGATTCATATTTGCAGCCCTGTCTTAGGTGTCTTTTCAGCGATGACTTCAATTGATAATGAGTTGAGCAATAAACACATTTATAGATGCCACTTGATAGATTTACTTTCCTTCTCATCTGCAGCAACATCGGCACTGTCGAACAGAAAAGAAAAGAACAAAATATCAATTCGTATACGTAATATTAATAATAATAATAATAATAATAATAATAATAATAATAATAATATTAATAATAATAATAATAATAATAATATTAATAATAATAATAATAATGATAAAAATAATAATAATAATAATAATAATAATAATAATAATAATAATAATAATAATAATAATGATAATAATAATTGTCNATAATAATAATAATAATAATAATAATAATAATAATAATAATAATAATAATGATAATAATAATTGTCTATTTGTTTAGTATAATTTTTTGTTTAATTTTGCTTATTCATTTTTATTAATTTTTCTTTTCTTTTTATTTCATTTTTATGTGTTTTCGTTTAAAATGATTAATGCAATACATTTGTTTTTAATAATTTCATTTGAAACAAAAGCACATGAATGTGGGATTGGGGTAGGATGGTGCTAGAATAAAAAGATGAAGAAAAAAACATTGAATAATAATGGACAATGAAATTGATGAAAAAGAATTTTATTTATCGATAATAGATACTTTACGTCAGCTGAAAAAAAAAAATATGTTTTATTTGTTTTTATTATTATTTTTATTTTTATTTTTATTTTATTTAAATACAAAATCAATCAGTAGAATCAAATTTTATATTGAACAATTTTAATAAGTAATACTGTAGGAAGAATAATTCCTTCGTAGGAGATTAAAATGATTTATTTCATTTTATTTATTTTTATTTATTTATTTATTACAATACATATTCCGGCCAGAAAAAAAAAATTTCACTGTATGTTCCTTACTGCCATTCTCTTCACTTGCATTAGATGCGTTTTTGTTGAAGGATTTTGTCCACGTGTATATTCGTTTGCTGCACTTCGAACGTTTCCATATTTTCACGGCTGAAAATAAAATGTTCTTTGATCGTTATTTTATTCTTCCAAATTGGGGAGAAAAAGAAAAATAAAACCAACAACAACAAAAATCAACACAAAGAAAGAAAGAACGAAAAAAGAAGATAGAAAAAAAAACCGTTATAACATTAAATAACTAGATGATGAAAATGTGACGATGATGGTGATAATAATAATAATAATAATAAAAGTAGAAGAACAATTCTTTAGGCATTTTTTAAATATCTCTTTTATCAGTTCTTCATTTTTCTTTTCTTTTTGAATTCTATATTTGTTTATTTATTTTTATTTTTTTTTTTTTGTATATAAATCGTACAAAATTATTGTTTCATTGTGTCGTTTGATATTTATTTTATTACATACAAACAAATATTATAAATAATTGTATATGAAAACCAAGTAAAGAATAAAAATAATGAAAAAACCAAATATCAATATCGCATTATCAGTACAATAATAAGTCAACAAATTGTAATAATTAAAGTACAATAAAAAATTACAATAGAAAATAAGTCGTCAAAGGTTAACACAAAGGAACAGGAAGTAGTAATAACAATAATAATAGTAATAATAATAATTAATATAATCGTTAATAAATACATATTTATAAAGATTATAAATATGTGTATTTAAAAAATGTAATGACCTTAATTAATTATTCGGCATAAAATACTGATCGAATAAATTGAAAAATGAATTTTATACTATTGTACGTATTATATGAAATTTAAAAAAAATCGATGTGGTGCAAGTTTTTAATGTGTGACTGCCAACGATGCTTGTGTTTGAATCGTCTTTCACAAATTGGACAAATGAAGCATGGTTCCTTGCCGCATTCAATTCGTTGGTGATTCTTCATGGAACCTTTCCTTCGATAACGTTTCCCGCACTGCTTGCAGATCCACTTTTTTTCCGGCTTATCTGTAAAACATAAGCAAACAAATAAAGAAGAATAGGACAAAATAACGTAATATAATAATGGTTAGTAGTAACGGTTCGCGATATTAATGACTTTATTATTTTTTATATGCGTTTAAGGGGTAGGAATATTTATTGAATATTTTTTTAACAAAATCATTTGTTGTAAGGTGTATCATCCTTCGTACCGTATACGGTACTTTGACCGATCAACGACCACATCTCCGGTAAAACCACAAAATGTAATAAAATATCTTCTCTCAGTTTTTTTCTTTTTTTTTGCAATAATCTTCTATCTCGTTCGAATTTCCTGAGATATATCTGTGAACAGAAAAACAGAGAGAACGAAAAAAAAGAAAAAAAGAAAAAAAGGACGAAAAATAAGAAAAAAACGACATATTTACTAAAAAAAAAAAAAAAAAATGATGATTGAAATTATTCGAAATTTCTTGCAGTTTTGTTTTTTATCTCCTCTTCAAACTTTCATTCTTCGTTATAAATTTTTTTTTCATCGTTAATGAATTTTTTGTGACTTATTTTTTTGTTCAGGTGGGATATGGGGGGTGGGTGAAAGAAAAAAGCGTGGTTTAATTGTGCACTCAGTCATCGTAGTTTCTTGGTTTTGGAATTTCTTCATGCAATGAATAATGAATGATAGTGAAAAAAGAAATATAGAAAGAAAATTATAACAATAATAATAATAATCATAATAATAATTAATATATATAATCATTTATAAATATATATATAAATATGTGTATTTAAAAAATTTAATGACCTTAATTAATTATTCGTAATAAAATACTGATCGAATAAATATAAGAATGAATTTTAATCTATTGTACGTATTATACAAAATTTACAATTTGATGCGGTGCATGCATTTAGCGTGTGACTGCCAACGATGCTTGTGTTTGAATTGTCTTCCACAAATCGGACACTTGTAGGATGGTTCCTTGCCGCATTCAATTCTTAGATGATTCTTCAATGAACCACGCCATAGATAACGTTTCCCGCACTGCATGCAGACCCAATTTTTGTCCGAGTTAACTGTAAAACATAAGCAAAAAAAAAAAGAAGAATAGGACAAAATAACGTAATATAATAATGGTTAGTAACTGTTCGCGATATTAATGACTTTTTTATTTTTTATATGCCTTTAAGGGGTAGGAATATTTATTGAATATTTCTTCAACAAAATCACTTGTTGTAAGGTGTATCATCCTTCGTACCGTACACGGTACTCTGACCGATCAACGACCGTATCCCCGGTAAAACCACAAAATGTAATAAAATATCTTCTCTCAATTTTTTTCTTTTTTTTATGCAATAATCTTCTATCTCGTTCGAATTTCCTGAGATATATCTGTGAACAGAAAAACAGAGAGAACGAAAAAAAAAAAAGAAAAAAAAGAACATATTTAATAAAAAAAAATGATAATTGAAATTATTCGAAAAATCTTGCAGTTTTGTTTTCTATCTTTTTTTTTCCTTCTTCCTCTTCAAATTCTCATTCTTCTTTATAAATTTTTTTTCATCGTTGATGAATTATTTATAACTTTTTGTTGTTGATGTGGGATATGGGAAGTGGTTGGAAGAAGAAAGCGTTATTTAATTGTGCACTCAGTCATCGTAGTTTCTTGGTTTTTGAATTTCTTCATGCAATGAATAATGAATGATAGTGAAAAAAGAAATATAGAAAGAAAATTATAATAATAATAATAATAATAATAATAATAATAATAATAATAATAATTAAAAATAAAAGTGGTTGGAATGCGGGGAAAGGTGGAGGGTTAAGAAAAAAAACATACGATTGCAGTGTTTTTGTTTGTTCCTATTTTTTTTTAGTTTTTTTTTTCCTTTTTTTCCAGACCATGTTTTCTTATCAAGTTCGTAATTATCAATATTATATTATTATTATTATTATTATTATTATTATTATTATTATTATTATTATTATTATCATTATTATTAATAGTAGTTTAGGATAAAAAATGATTAGACTAAAGTACGTGAATATTTTTTTTTGTATATATGATTCGCGTGTGATATTTTGTTTTGTTGATTATTATGTTTTACAAAGTGTTGGCTGCGCATTTGTTTGTTTGTTCACAATTAAAATTTCTTGTTCTTGTGTTGAAACTTTACACATGTCTTATATATGTTATTTTTATGAAAAAAAAAAATATATAATGGAAAATATGGCAAATCTGTTGTATATCATAGAATTATGTTTTTCTTTCTTTCTATAAATTTATTCTTTAGTAAATATTTATTATTTGCTTTTTGATAGATTTAAACAAATACTGTTAAAAAAAAAAAAATAGATAAAAATAGGCTTTTTTACCGTTGTCAATGATTTCTTTTTGTTGTTTTTTTTTTTTGATTTGCTTGTAAGTAAATAGGATAGAATTTGTTTATTTTAAACAATGACGAATAGTATAAACGTTAAACGCACCGATATCAAATTTTTCGTTGAATGCTGTTTGTTTTTGTTTTGTTTAACAACTGGGTTGGTTCTGACATTTTGGTAATGTTGTTGTGTTGTTGTTGTTGTTTTCTTCTATTCAATTTTCAGATCTGTGAACATGTTGCTTGTGACGTGTCAAATATTCCCTCCTTTTGAATTTTCTACCGCATACGCTGCACTTGTGACGAGGTAAAGTACCGCAACCCTCTCGCAGGTGTCTGGTCAACGAATCGATCCATGTATAACGTTTGCCGCATTTGTAACAGGTGAATGGACTGTCGTAATTAACTCGATTCCTTTCTTTCTTCAACATTTCTGAAACCGATCGAAAAAAAAAACAAAATACGAACGGTCAGATTTATATTTTTTATTTATTTATTTATTATTTTTTTTTTTTTCATTCATTCATTCATTCGTTCATCTATCGACAGGAGGGATGGGATTCGTTTGATGAATAGAAATAAAAAAAAAAAAAAACAAATCAAGAGAGTCTGAGAGAAAAAGGAAATAATTAATAAATCACTGGTAGAAGAGAAAAAAAAATACAAAAAAAAATATACATTTATATTGTCATGTTATTGTTATTGTTATTATTATAAAAATTATTATTATCACACATTATATATATATAATTATTATCATAATTACTATTACTATTATTATTATTATTATTATTATTACTATTATTATTATTATTATTATTACTATTATTCAATGAAATGGAGATAAAGAGAGAGAAAAAAAAATATGGTCCTAATATTTCGAATTAGGTCAATCGTTTTATTGAAAAGTTAGAAGCAAAGGGATTACAGAAAGGAGGAGGGAGGATTGAGGAGGGAGGTGTGTTCTTGTAAGGTTGAATTATTTTTTTTCTCTCTTTTTTCTCTTTATCCTTTATACTTTACTTTTACCTTGACTGCTGTCGATTGTCACGTACCACCTTCCCAATTCCTCGTAATCTGTAAACACGTATAATTCCATGGGTTAATTATATTTAATGAACATTTGTATATATATATATATATATATTTTTTTTTTGTATACCTCTCTATACGAGATTCTGATTTGACGAAAGAGAAAAGGAAAGAGAAAGAAAGAGAGAAAGATAGAAAAAGAAAAAAAGAAAGAGAATATAAAAAAAAAGGAATTTTTTTTTTAAATATGTTTAAATATATTTAAAATCTTTTAATATATTTATTTATAGAGATAGAAATAGAGAAATAGAGAAATAGAGAAAGAGAGAGAGAGAGAGAGAAATTCTAAATGATTAAAAATTTAATATTCTGTGATTAAATATAATACATATGTATATCTATATGCATATACATTGATTTGTTTTGTTTCTTTTTTCTTACTTTTTTTTTTTCATTTTTGAAATAGTCAAATAAAAATATTGTAAATGATCTTATTTTTATTGTAAGATATTTATCCATTTATGACTTATTTTTAATTAAAACAAGAATGATTCGTGTGTCCCGTAAAATGAGTCTAATTATTATTAGTAATCATTACGTATAATAAGTATGTATATTTGTTTGTTAACTTGTTCGTTTGGTGGTTGTATTCATTTTTTTTATCGTATATTTACTTGACTTACTTAAATTAAGATTAAATCAAAAAAATAAATGTTTTTTAAACGGTTACGCATACAGATCATTACAAATAAAAATATTACATAAATTCTGTAACATTTTATCACATTACATATGTCTCCTCTTAGGGTAGTGTACGTGTATGTGTATACATGTATATTCATGTATATATATATATAATGCGTGTTACATTAATTATTATTTATTAACTTTTAATATTGCCTTTGATAATTTAGATTTGTTTGTGTATGTGTGTTATGTGGTTATACGTGTGTTGTATATTTTCACGACAAGTAAATGTTTCTTATTTATTTGTTTTTTTTTTTTTTATTTTTTTTATTGTTTTTTCTTTTTTCCTATTTGAAATTTAAATCTTACGGACGAGTTTTTAATTGGACGATTTTAATGAAGACGAAAAAAGAACAAGAAAAACAACAAGAAAAAGATCTTTTTGTGTATAATTTTTCTTGTGTTTTTTTTTTCTTTTTCTTTTTTCTTCTTCTTCTTCTTATTCTTCTTTTTATTCATTCAATTTATATTCTAGATAACAAATTATTAAAATTAGAGAGAGAAAAAAAAATTACCAATCATTGCAAACGATTAAAATTACGCAACAACAAAATAGAGGACCGAAAAAACGCAAATTTTGATGTTGTTTTTTATTGTTTTTGTTTTGTTTGGTTACCATTTCGATCCTCGAAAATTCCTTTTTCTTTTTTTCTTTTTATACGATTAAAATTGTAACAACAATAACAACAGCAACAACGACGACTATGATTATGATRATGATGATCATATCGTAACAAAAATATCATAAACGATTATTAACAGATCACAGATATACTTACATATATTTATATAGATATATATATATATATTTATTCATTTAATATTTTTTTTTTGTTTTTTTGAAAAATTTCATCACACACTGATAATTTGTTTTTCTCTCTTTATTCATTTTCTTTTATTTCTTTTTTTATTTATTTATTTATTTTTTTTATTTGTAAATTATTACAAATGTGTTGTTCTCAAATAAGAATCATTTTGTCATCGCGAGAAATAATAAAAAAAAATCGACGTCTCTAATCGAATTTTCTTTCCTCAAAATTTTCTCTTTTATCGAAGATGATTTAATAATTTGCGATAACAAATGTCGAAGTTCAACAACAATTAACCAAAAAAAAAAAAAAAATAAAATAAACTAATAATCAATAATTAACATTTACGTATTACAATATAGCGCATATATTTATTTGTGTAATAGATATTTATATATATTTTTCTTTATTCTTTTTTTTTTTTCACCTTTTTATTTCGTTTGCAGGCCGAAGAAAAGAAAAACCTAAAAAAATTATTTGCAAAAATTTCTCTCTCTTCTTACTTTTAATTCATTTAATTTTTCTTTTTTTTTTCTTTGTCTTTCCCTACGTCTTACATTAATATAAATCTTATCCCTGTTTTCCCTTCACCCTACACCCAACACCCTTTCACTTTTTCCTTTTTCTTCCAATTTTTTCACTTTCCAAGAAACAATTTTCTTATTTTCTATCCCACAACATGTTTTTTTTTTTTATTTTCTCTTTTTCTTTCCATTTTCCTTAATATTATTTTTATTACTATTATTATTATTATTATTATTTATTAATTATTATTATTATTATTATTATTATTATTATAATTATTACTATTATTAAAATATTTCGTTAAAATCAATATCGAATGAAATCTTGAGGAAAGAAAACATTATATCATAATTTTATTATATATTTTTAAATCATAAACATTATTCCTACTCTTTGAATAATATTTTTCTTTCTTTATCGTTTTTTTTCAAACGTAATGGCACACAATAATTAAAGATAATTAATTTGTTTCATTATCGTCATTATTAATTTCTTCGTTTCTTTTTTTCTTTCTTCTAATTATAATAGCAACCTTATCGATAGCAATCGAATAATTTGAATTTATGGAATTATTTATTTATTTATTATTTGCCAGTCTTTTAGCCGATTAGGAGAAAAAATTAAGCTCGTTCCTTTTTTCTTACTTTTTCTTATTTTTGTTCTTGTTTTTGTTTATCACGATTACGAGGTGAGAAATAAAATGTCTCTGTGTTTAGTTTTCAAGTGACGCTTAACGTTAGTTTTTTGATGGAAACGCTTGTAGCAGATCGGGCACATGTGTTTGGGTTCTTTCCCACATTCGTCTTCAAGATGACGTTTCAGGCTCCCGTTGACGGTATACCTTTTGTTACACTTATGGCATACGAAAGGTTTCGGCAAGTCGTTTCGACGAGGTGACCATACTCTCGACCTTGAACTTCCTGCAAGTGATCATGAAAGTTTATGGTTATTTCTTGCAACGGAATATCTTCCTTAGGCGAACTTCTTTTAGTTTAAATTTTTGTAGTTTTTTTTTTTCGTATTTTCTTTCCCTTTTTTTACTCTTTAATTTTTTTTTTTTTTTCAAATATATTCATATGCAGCATATATTATATGTATATGTATATGTATATAATATATATATATTTTTTTTTCTTATTATTCTTTTATGTTCGTTCAAAAGTTTCTTTTTTATTCTTTTGTTTTTCTTTTTTTTTTTTTTGTCAATCAAATATTAAAAAGAAATTCTATATAAATATAAATATAATATATAATAGATAAATATAATAATAAGAAAAAAGTAGAAGCAAAGAAGAAGATTGAGAGGAATTAATTTTAAGAAAGAAAAAAAAAATTGAAGCGGATAAAAAGTGAAAAATAATTTCTCCCATAAGAGAAAAAAAAAAAAAGAAGAATAATTAGAAAATACAGGGAATAGAAAATTATAATCTGGATGAAGAATTTATTGATTAATAATAATTGTAAGACAAAGTGAAAGAATATAAAAAGAGAGAGAGAGAGAGAGAGAGAGAGAGAGAAAGAGAGGAAGAGTAAAACTGAGTAAAAAAAGTGAAAAAAATGTCTGCATTATAAAAATAGAATGTTCATTTGTGAAATGAAAATTCTATTTTGCTAATGCATATATATATATATACATGTACATATATTTTTTGCCGTAAGAAAACATTGGTCGTTCGTTGTTATAAATAAATGAAAAAGAAAAATTAACAAATATATAAATATATATATATATAAATATAGATAAAAAGGTAAAAAAATTAATAAAATGGTATGAAAAAAGATAATGTAAAAAAGAAGAAGAATTTTCTTCCATCGATGACATGGATGATTTTAATCTTGAAACGTCGAATTGAATCTTCCGATATTTTCTAAATTAGTATCTTCGTGATTGGGAGAAAGAAAAATGTTTAAAAAAATATATTAAACATGGATACAAATGTTAATAATCATCTATCATCATATCGTGATAGATTAATTTCTCTTTATTTTTATCGTTATCATTGCTATTATTATTATTAATATTATTATTGTATTATTATTGTATTATTATTAATATTCATATTATTATTATTATTATTATTGTTATTATTATTATTATTATTATAATTACTATCATTATTATTATGATTTTTCTTTTTATTTTTAATTTAATTTAATTTTATTTAATTCTTATTTTTATTTATATATTTTATTTTGTTATAAATATATAGATATTTATATTATGTGTATATAAATTTGTGTTTGTTCTTTAATATCTTCGATGAATTTTATTCAAGTATTTTTTTTTTTTTTTTCTTTTTTTCATTTCTTCGAGACGTCGAATTTACAAAGCCATATAACATTTCATCGTTCCCGTCAGTGAAAATCTTTAGTTTGCTTGTAAGAAATCTTCATGACGTTGCAAACACATTACCACCAGAACTTTTAATTTTTCGTTCGAGAGATCTTCTTTGATGAATTTTCTGTGAAAGATTAAACAAAGGATAAAGGAAAAATAAAGTAATTGAAATTAGAAAGAAAGACAGAGAGAGAGAGAGAGAGAAAGACAGCGAGAGAGAGAAAGAGAGAGAGAGAGAGATAAAGAGAGAGAAAGTTATAAAAAATTAAAAATAAATAACCACGTATATCTTATTATTATTATTTTTTGTTTAATCATAAAAAAAAATATATCTATTCTATTTTTCTTTTTTTAAATGAAATTTTATTCACAAATTTTGTTTCTTTTTTGCCGAAAATTCACCTATCTTATTATATTTATATTATTATTTACATAATATATATATATATATATATATATATATATATATATATATATATATTATATGTTATTATATATTATGTATATTAATATATTATGTAATAAATAAATTAATATACTTATATTATTATGTGTGTGTGTTTTTTTGTTTGTGAATTGGTTAGTGAATAAGTGAATAATTATTAGTCAATATTAATGTTAATGTTTATTGAATTACTGAATTAATATATTGATCATATTTGTATGATCTTACCTGTATCAGTTTTAATGAGTTATTTGGTTCATTCTTGAAATGGTCATAGAAGATATATATACAATAATTTCTTCACAGGTGTGAGGATTTAATTTTTTTCCCAATGTGTCCAGATCATTATCATCATCATCATTATCATCATCAAAAAAATCAAGATGCAAATAGAATTATTTTTGTTGTTCCCATTAATCGTCCATCGTGTTTTCTTTTTCTTTTTCTGCTTGAATCAACCTATATTTTTATTGATAATAAAAAAAAAATATATTTATATGTATTATTAATTTATTATAGTTATTTGATAATATTTATAAAATGTGCAGTAGGTGTCCTGAGATTTACCTAGATCAAACTGCAGATACATATTTTACGAGTACAAAAATAAGAATGAAAAATGTTATATTAGCAAAGTGTTTGGTGTTTATTTATTTAGGTTATCAATAAATAAAAATGAAAATAAACATTGAAAAATATAGGATAACACAGATTTGAATAACATTTTTGTTTTATTTCCATTCGTAAAATATTATCTAATTGTTTTGTGACGATAAATCTTTGGACACACCTAGTAGAAAAATATATATATATATATATATTTTGCATTTTTAATTATTATTTTGTTTTTCAATTTTCTTTTTTTTTCCTTTTTTCTTCTTCTTCCCTTATATGGGAATATAATTATATTATATCTTCCCCCTACGTTCATTTGGTTTTCCTTTTTTTTTCCATCTCGTATTGAAATTCCTCCGGCTGCTTCTCAAATTGTTTTTTCTTTTTCTTTTTTTTTTCTTTTTCTTTTTCTTTTTCTTTTTCTTTTTCTTTTTCTTTTTCTTTTTCTTTTTCTTTCTCTTTCTCTTTCTCTTTTATTCGAATATCTGAAAATAATAATATTAAAAAACGTGTCAGTATGAGGAAGAACGTGTTAAATTATTAATTTTAGCACAATTTTGTAAAAACTATTTAAAGTATGTGAAAGATTGTAATTACCTTCTCGCGTGTAATTATTTTTATTTATTTCTTCACACGCACACCTGTCGATTATTTCATCTTATAAACAATTTCAAAAAAACAAATAAAAAAAAAACAAAAAAAAAATCACGACGAATGAGGAAGGGGGAATAAATGTTTGGGTAAATAGGATATTTTTTTCTTTTTTTCGTAATCACAATTATATATCTTCTGTGGGGGATAGGTAATATGCAGGAAAACACTTTTTTATACACAACAAATAATACACAGCAAATAGTTTCATTTATTCAAGAGATAATATTAGATTATTTATTAATTTAGAAAAAAAAAATTAGGTAAAGCACATGCGACGCTTTGTTTGATACCCGTTCAAGCAGCCTTCAAAGCTTTCGTAAGCTCATTAACTCTCATAACGATAACTCGAAAATATATATTTAGATTTGAAATTGTAAATGCTATTCATCTATCCTACCGTTAACAAAATGCAAACTTCGTTTGTTCACTTCGTTTCCCAACTTATCGCCAAAAGTAAGATGATACCAGCAGTTCGCTGATGAATTTGTACCTGCCCTTTTTTCTACGCTTCGAGTCCTACTTCCCCTCTTGTTGCGAGAATAACTTCGTATTTTAGGGTGTCCTTGTCGGAGCATTTGCCTCATCTCTTGAACCAACTCATGCACTACTTGCCTAAATTCCACCATTTCAGACGATGAAGAAACACTGGCGATTTTCAGACCTGTTGTCGTCCGCGTTGTATATTCTATCCACTTGTGCCTGCGAGATTAGTCAGGTGTCTGAAGAGTTGCGATGGATTTCTATCCCCCATTTCTTCGTGAGCCAAAAATTGAGGAATTTTCTCTTCTTCCGATGTTGAGAATCGTTGAATCAGTTCCATTTTTAATTTCTCAAACCGGGCCGGTTGTTGGAGGGTTCCGCAAAATATCGCGCACTTCCCTCATCGCACGCGTGTCTAATCCACGCGTGTCTCCGACATATTGTTCTGTCACTACACACACAAACAAAAACAATATTTTCGTTAATTTTAAACGCGATCACGTTGGGGTTCACCACTGTGGGGGGATAGGTAATATACAGGGAAACACTTTTATACACAGCAAATAATAAGTTTGATTTATTGAAGAGGTAATATTAGATTATAGATTAATTTATGAAAAAGATAGGTGAAACACACGCGACGCTTTTTATTTGATACTCTTCCTTTCGTTTTCTCATGATAAAAGTCTCTTATCCGTTGCTCTTATACTTTCCGCGGCTATTCAAGCAGCAACATTCAAAGCGTTTGTATAAACACGTTAATTCTCTCATAACGATAACTCCAAAGTATATATTTAGATTTGAAATTCTAAACGCTATCATTTATTCTAACATTAACAAAATTTCAACAGATAATAACCATTAAGCGAAATTATTTCCTAAGAAGGAGGACAATTTTCAGTTGTATCGTGTTTCATTCTATTTATAGTTTGTTGTTTCGAATTTATTTTGTGTTATCGCTTCTGCTTCTGTTGATATTTATTTGTCGTTGCCACGCCAACCGCTACACTTCTTTTTTTTTTTTTTTTTTTTTTTTTTTTTTTT